TGATCATTTAGCAAAACTACTAAACATATCTGCCTGAAGTCTTACTTACACAAACAGGACTGTGCTGGGTTGAAAACAGCTTACTTGGTTTTCTGCTGCAAATTCATCTGTAAAGGTGTAAGCTGACTTCTAACTCAGTCTGAAAAATCAGTGAAGAATTAGAAACGTTCCAAAATTATTACAGCTGTAAATTCCTTTTTTTAATTATGATTATGAATTATTTCATTATGAATTTTTTCATTATGATTAAATTAAGAACAAATTCTCATTTCTATTTCATTTAGGAGATCACATTAGTTGGCAGCTTATTATTGACTTTAAATTCCTAAATAAAAATTATTTGTATAAAGAAATTTAAAATCTAATAACAACGGGAATTCTTGAAATGACCTATCAAATAATTTTTTTGTCTGGATCTAAAAGTGCATTTATACAATCTGTAAAATAAGTAGTGCAGCAATATGTAGGTCAGATGAGCAGTGAATCTGAGCAGGAACAAGAGCCTATCAGACTTTCCTGTTTAATTGTTAGTTTTAGTAGAAAAGTCAAAATAAAAAATTGCTCTTTAAAATTACTTAGTCTTTAGTCATCTTCCACTGATTGTTGCTTGACAAAAGACTGTAGGACATAGACCATCAGTAGCACAAAAAACATGGTGATGAGATTGGATTTATTCATCTGCAGTTCAGACCTAATTACATCCTTTCTAAAAAATTTAAAACACATTCAGAGATGCTTCTGAAAATGTTTATACACAGAGCTTTACTCTGTCATACCATTCTAATTAACCTGCCACATCTTCTGCCAGGGCAGGGCCTTTATAAATGCATATATATAAAACAAAGCAAAACAAACAAAAATAATACAAACAAACAAAACTTTGGAAATTACCTGTTTATCATTCACTTAATCAGACGGAGAGAAAACATGCAAATTAGGTATGCAAGTCTTAGAAACACTTCATTTACTACAGCCACAGGATTAATATAAATGTCTGAAAGTTACCAGGACATGCACAACGTCGGACGCTGCCTAGTCCTACGTTGTGCCTGATCTGTAAGAATTTGTTTCCAGACAGCAAAGTGTAGTATTGCTAGTTTTGCACTTTTAAAGCTGTTAGAGAGCAGTTTATATTAAACTTGTCCTTTCAGATGGTCAAAAACATAGTTTGAAGCCTAACAGGGTTGGCATAAGGGACATGTCAGGTATTCAAAAAGCATAGTTTGAAGTTTAACCTTAAACTAGGGTTATGTGAAGGGCATTCACAAAAAACAAGACATGATTTTAAAATCTGATGGTTGAAACACGTGTTCCTAGGCTTGAGTGGGGAACGAAATGCCAGCCATGAGTCTTCAGTAAAGGACACTGAAGTTGCATATTGCCTAAACGGGAATACGTGTTGGTGTCGGATGGAAATGAGCCTGCACGGCTTTAAATGCGGCGCTGACGGGAGTAGCCGGATCTACGTTAGTAATAACAAGCATCAAGAGGCTACATATTGCTAAACAGACAGTTCGTGAAAAGAAATGTTATGCTGAGCTCTTCCCTGGTTCTGTAATTAGCTTTCTGCATGCAGGCTCTGAGACATCCTACTCGCTGTGGACTGGGCGGCAAAGGGGAGGAGTGCCAGGCTGACCAGAAAGAAAATGCTTTTTGTACGTTTTAAAAAAGAACCTTGTCGGTAAATGATGGGGGATAAATACGGGGAGGGAGAGGTTGCCAACATTTCTGTGGATTCCCAGACTCTCTCCCTGCAAACCGAAGGCGCAGAGCTGACAGGGCTGGGAGAAAGGTGGAAAGTTTGTGCTTTTTTCCAAAGCTCCACTACATGCTGTACTTTTCCCGTACGACGTGAGCCGGTCGGTGTCGCACGAAAGGACAGCGTCCCTCCTTTTTCTGCTTCAGCGAAACATGCGGCAGCTTAGCTCACCGTCCTGTGTCTACGGGGAAATATGCTTTGCGCCGAAACCACACCTCAAAACAAGTAAATAGAAACTTGCCTCATTTCGGTGGGGGGGAGGAGGGGGGAAAGAGAAGGTTCAATCGCCTCTACCTCTTTTCCTCTACCCGTCTTCCTTGTCCTCTGCGCTATTTCTCTAAAATGCTGGAAAACTTCATTTTCACAGTGTACGGGGTGGGGAGGGGGCGGGTGGATGTGTACTGCCGGGCTGATAATTATTAGCAGCAGGTTTCGAGTACGAGTTGCCTTCAGGACAAAAAATAATAAATCTGAACGACTGCCTTTAAAACCCTTTTGAAGATGAAAGGTAGGACAAGACAGTTGTTTTAAAGTGCCCACATTAGCAGTGCTTCTTTACAAGACTATAAATAATAGTACAAGCACGAGAAAAGCCCCGGCGGAGCGCCGCACTTGCTGAAAATCCGCTTCCACTCCGGGACGAGCGCCGCGCCGGCCGCTCCTTTCCAGGGACTGCGCCGGGCACCGCTCCCCGGCTGCTGCCCGGGCGGTACCGCCCTGCCGGAGCCGGCACCGGGATCGGCACCGGCACCGGGATCGGCACCGCTCCGCCATCACCGCCGCAGCGGGGCAGGGCCGAGGCGGGCCGGGCCGGGCCGGGCCGGGCCGAGCCGAGCCGGACCGGGCGGCGGGGAGGAGCTGCCCGCGCTCCCCGTAGGCAGGGCGGGCGGCAGGGCCGGCCCCCTCTCCGGGCTGGGTGGGGTATAGGGGGGGCCGGGGGTGGAGTAGGGTGAAATAGAGGCGGGCGTGTGTTACCGGGTAGATACCCGCGGCCAGGTACAGGCGGAGGCACTGACGATAGCGGAGTGGATGCGCTCTGGGCTGGTGCTCCTGGGCAGTGAGCGCACGAGCAGCCACCGCCCGCCCGCCCGCCCGGAGCCGCCCGCGGGTCACTCGCCCTGCGCCGGGGCGGGCAGCCCGTCCGCGCCGCGCCCGCCGCCAGCCCCATGGCCACCAGGGTGCTGACCATGACCGCCCGCCTGGGGCCCGTGCAGCAGCCCGAGGAGCCGGTGTTCGCGCAGCTGAAGCCCGTGCTGGGGGCCCGGGAGGCAGCGATCTTCCCTGGAGAGGACCTGAAGCAGCAGCAGCAGCCGCCGCCGCCGCCGCCGCAGCAGCAGCACCCGGGGGGCGGCGGCGCGAACCTGCCGGCGGAGGAGATGGTGCAGGTAGGCAGCGAGCAGCGCTCACAGCCGCCGGTGGGCACTCGGTGCTGCCCGCGCAGCCCTGGAGCCGCGCCTCGCCCCGGCCGGAGCGGCCGCTGCGGGGCGGGCGGGACTGGGTGGGGCCGGGCTGCGGGGCGAGGGCGGCGGACACCGAACTGCGGGGCTGTGGCAGCAGCGGCAGGGTGCGTGTGTGTATGTATGTATGTATATGGGTTCGTGTGTATGTGCGGGGGAGCGGCCACGCCGCCCATCCTGCCCGTGCGGAGCGGGAGCGCTCCCGTGTTCCCGCCGGCGGAGCGCGGAGAGGCAGCCGGGGCCGTCCCGGCGAGGCGGGGGGAGCCGGGCTGCCCCCGCTAGTGTGTTGAAAGCTACAGCTGCTGCCTTCGCACTTGCCCGGCGGCAGAATTAGAGCGGCCGCCTGTCCTCCTCGCCCACGCAAGGAGTCATGTTCGGGGGGCGGGGGGGGAGAGCACACGACTCGCTGGTAACGGGGGACTTCCCAGGACTTTGTGCCTGTCCCAAGAGGCTGTTTGGGAGCGGATCCGCAGGCAAACAGCTGGAGGAGCTAAAAGCGGGAAGGTGCTGACCGCAGCCGGGCTCCAGCCCGCGGACGGTGCCCGCTCCAGGGGCGGTTCCCCGCGCCCTACGAGGCACCGGCGTTGCCCGGGTCGGCGGAGAGGGAGCCCCGGTGCCGGGCAGCGCTCTGTCGGGCGCTGCCTTTCGGTGGTGTCTTCCCTAAGGAGTAAATAAGTCCCTGTCTTCAAAGCGAGCTGCCCTCGACTCGTAAACAAGAGCTGGAAAAAGTAGCCTGGCATGTCGGGGCAGATCCAGATCAAAGGGAGACGGGAAGGCGGCTGTGTTTGTTTGTGGTGTTTACCGGGGGTCTTTGAAGAAAGGTCCTAAAATCCACTTTCGGGCAGAGTTGCTGTTTGTCAGCTGCTTTCGCTTGCGGGGTGCTAAACGGGTCTGGTATGAGCACTCTCTTGACAGGGCAGGGGGGAATGTAGCATTTGCCCACTGAAGACTGCATGGTAAATGTTTTGCCGATGACTGTACAGCAGTAATGTATAGGGCTCCAGCCACCCACGGATTCCCTCGCACTACCGTGCTAAGAGGGTGATTTTCCAGTAATTAAAGAGCTCTCCGGGAACCGAGGCATGGATAGGGACATGGTTATCACGCTATTAGACAATTACACACTGCATAGATTATTATTGGTTCAAGTGTAGTCCTGGAGACACTTTACACAAAGAATACTCTGATGTAGTCAACCCGTCTCCTTTTTATTCGATATTATTAGTAACTTTACACTCCGGTGTTCTATTTCTAATTAAATCCCGTTCTTCTAGGGATGAAAAATCATGGAAGTATGTTATATATATATAAACATTATTTGAAGTATTAGTATTCAGATAGTCAGCTGAGGATGTGGCTTTTACAGTTAGCATTTCAAAGAGAAGCGGGTGAAAGAGATAGGCAGTCACCCTGCTCCAGCAGTGAATTCCAGAGCAGGAGATCTGCAGATTAGGCACAGCTCCTGTCACTTCTGCGCCTTGCACTGTCTTTTAGGCATAAAAGATGAAAAGTTTGTGTATGCTGAAACATCAGATCTGTCTTAATGTGTGAACGCTTTGTACTGTGACTTTATCTCCTTGTCCTTGATGATGTTGATCAGCGTGCTGATTGTAAAATCAAGCAGGTTTTCATTAGTGTGAGCATTCATAACTTCCTCTGTAGGTGTCTTGCAGCTGGATGAACAGTATTGCCTTTTATTTGTAAAGCCTCACATGACTTGGATGCCATCATCTTTCTTAGCTGGTAACAAATCATGTGGATTATGGTCTGTTTTGTCTTTGTAGACGAGATGTGAAATGGAGAAATACCTGGCACCTCAGCTCCCGCCCGTTCCCGTCATTCCTGAACATAAGAAATACAGAAGAGACAGTGCCTCGGTTGTAGACCAGTTTTTCACCGACAGCGAAGGGTTGCCTTACAGCATCAACATGAACGTCTTCCTGCCTGACATCAGCCACCTGAGAACTGGCTTGTACAAATCTCAGCGACCCTGTGTAACCCACATCAAGACAGAACCATCTTCAGTCACCATCTTCAGTCACCAGAACGAAACTACTGCCCCTGCCCCTGCTCCCACTCAGGCCCTCCCAGAATTTACCAGCATCTTCAGCTCCCACCAAACCCCTGACGTGAACAACATTTTCATCAAGCAGGAGCTTCCTACTCCAGATGTCCATCTTTCCATCACACCCCAGCAAGGCCAGTTGTATCAGCTCTTGAGCTCGCCGGATTTAGACATGCCCAGCAGCACTCCCCAGGCGGCCGTGATGGACTCCCTCAGCAATGTCTCCATGCCCTCAGCCATGGCGGGCCTTAACACGCTCTCCTCGGCTGTTCCACAGACTGCAATGAAACAGTTCCAGGGCATCGCCCCCTGCACCTACACCATGCCAAACCAGTTTCTGCAGCAGCAGGCCACTTACTTCCCTCCTTCACCCCCAAGCTCAGAGCCTGGAAGTCCAGACAGACAAGCAGAGATGCTGCAGAATTTAACCCCTCCTCCGTCGTACGCTGCAACTATAGCTTCCAAACTGGCGATTCACAACCCGAATCTACCAGCAACTCTGCCCATAACCCCCCAGAACATCCAACCTGTCAGATACAACAGGAGAAGTAACCCAGATTTGGAGAAAAGACGTATCCACTACTGTGACTACCCAGGTAAGCAATCTGTGCCAGAAAATCCCAGCTCTTGCAATAAAAAAAAACAAAAACAAGTGTGAATAATAATGGATGAAGTGTAAGTGGTTTTCTTTAGCTGTGGTCTACACCTAAGGAGAACCAAATAGTTCTTTGTCCAAGTAGAATTTGTCTTTGTCATTGTTTTGAGTGGAAGACTCTCACATTCGTTAAATAATTGGTATTCTTCATGTCATTTGTCATTCTCTTGAGCTCATTTTACTATGTTACAAAATTAGAGACTCTGTAGAAAATAAAAAAATAAAAAATTTGGGCTTTGCTAGTGTCAATCATTGTGACTGTCCAGTATTCATGATAGAGCAGAGGCTCAGTTTGTCCAGTGTAGTACAGCTCTGTTTGAATTTTCTGGCACTGCAAGAGTAATTTCAGCTCCCAGTAGCCAAGGCCACAGCCATTCTTCCCTGTTATGAACAGGAGATTCAACTGCCCTCATAAATCCATTAGAACTATCTCTGAAAATTGTCTGCAGATGGATTGCCTTCTGGGCTGGAGAGGACGAGGGATCTGACTGGAAAGTGTGCTGCCATGTACGTGATCCCAGACACAGGGCGTGCACACCCGCTGTAAGCGCAGAGGGAAATTGCAGCTCCCCCTTTGCCAGCTCTGGGTGCCATGTCACCCATTCGGTGTGCCTTACAGTAAATGCCCAGTGAAAGAGTTGTGTTGAGCCCTGGTGACAATGACATGGAGTCTGGCTTGATTAGGTCCTCTTGGAAATTTTAAAAAAACAATCAAATAACCCCCTCCACCCCCCCCAAGTTGTTGACTTATGTAGCAGGTGTTACTGTACATAGATTGTAGCAGCCATTGGCCTATATTCTACATTACAAAGCAGTAAGTCGACCAGGAACATACATGTTTTTCTCTTTTCTGTGTCAAGCAACATATCTCTAGGAGCATTCTATAGAGAATTTTGCTTCTAAATGGCAAAAATTATGCCAAAAAGTAGTAAACTTAAATGTGTCCAGATAGTACTCCAGCACTGAATGAGGAAGTTTAAACATAGTGTGGAGTGTTTTCTATTCTCCCTACTGAAGCCTCTTTGCTTTTTTTGGTTTTGTTTTTTTCTGTTTAGGCTGCACAAAAGTTTATACAAAGTCTTCTCACTTAAAAGCGCACCTGAGAACTCACACAGGTATGTATGCACTCGCTCTCTCGCTGTCTCTCGTCCGTGGCTGACGCGGTTTCTGACAAAGCAGGAACGCTGGGTCTGCCAGCTTCTCCCTGTTTTCTCTAGGGTGGTGTGGACAGACTGGCAGGTCAGCTACAAAATACTTGAGGATTGGTCAGTGAGAAGTAAAATTTGTTTTGTTAATGCAGTTTTGTTAAACGTCAGTGGAATTCAAAATAGCTGACAACGAGGTAGATGGAAACTTTCCTTTTCAGTCTAAAATGCCATTGAAGTGTTAAAAAAAAAAAATCTTTTTTCTTTTTTTCCTCCCCAACTAGTGAATTAAACATAGTAAAGACGTTCTACTTTTGAAGATGTATCTGAGTAGATAGAATTTTCTGGCTTGGGCTTTCTTTCTGAACTTTTAGGATTATTTAATCTTAGAATTTTTCACAAATGTCATGAAAACTCCCAAGATATGTCTATTTACTTTCTACTTGGCATTAAGTGGGCTTTATTATTTTTATGAAAGACAAGTGGTTCTCCATGTTTATTTTTTTTTTAAAAAGGACATAACTTCGATTTTTTAAATTTTTTATTTTGTTAGGAAAAGACATCAAAATGAAGAAAATTAAGAGTGTCAGTGTGTCACAGTTGCTTTTTTGTACCCTGATCAAACTCTGCTTGCAGCTACAGAGGCCGCCCCGTTCCTGGACCCGCGAGGAGCGGAGCTGGGCATGGTGTTGGTTGTGTGGGCACAGGAGCTGAGAATGCTGAGGACAGTGGCTGGGAGGTGGAACTGTCCCAGATGCTCTTCCCAAGTGTTCACCTGCTGAGGCAGGGGGGAGAAGGAGAGAGGGAGGGAAGGAAAAACACATAGCTCACCACCAGCACGCTTGAAACTGTTAAGGACAGTTCTTTGCTGGGATCTTGATACAGAACCACTCATGCTAAATTGGTGAAAAGCACATGACTGATTTTGTAAAAAAATTAAGTGAAAGGACTGTGACTCCTGTTTTTAGAAGTGAGTGTGAACCTTGGTTCTTTTATGCATGGGTTTAGAATCAGAGCAAAACACGAGTCACAGTTCAAGCAACTTTGTTATTGAAGCGGGCTGTGCCATTCAAGGAGTGAGTTTTCACCTAAGCTTAAATCAAAACTTGTCCAGATCTATCGTCTAACAAAATGTTTCACTATCTCTATGGAAACAAGGCCTTCTGTTCAGCAGCTATTATAAATGGATTGTTAGATTGTTGTAAAGAAGTTGAGTATGTCCATGCTAAGTGTTACTAAGGAAATCTTGTTTTCAGAAATGAAAGTTACCTGTGTTGTACAGTGAAAAATTAAAAGCGAGTGTAGAAAATTATTGTTTTGCATTAGTGACAGGCTAAGCACCAACGCTGTTAAAAGTATTCTTAATATATAATCACTTGCTAGTAGTAAGTTTAGTAGGAAAGGAATATTTTCATGAGGCTGTAAATCTGAGTAGTATCATAGAATCCCAGTTTAATAAATAATCTGTAAATTTAAGTGTATGATTTCCACTTGCGCACTTCAGCCAGGAACTAAATACCAGTTTTAAATATCTTGATTGCTATTATAAAATAACTAGGAAGAGAGATAAAAGCAAAGCTTTAGTCTAAACATTAACATTACATAGTCAGCATTTGAAATGAATGCTTTTCCTTTTTTAATCCATTTCTATCTTTTTCTGTGCCTTGAGTGGTAATGACTTCAGGGTTTACAAAGTTAGTTCTTGTATGCATAGAAATACATACCTCATGGCTAGCATATATTGCCTAGGGTCACTAATGTTTATTGTTGCCTTCACTTTTTTACCTAGAAATGTGGATAAAATGTGCAAAGGTCAGAGGAGCTGATGTATTCATGGAAACAAGAATGTTGTTTTAGATAAAAATCTAGTGAACTTAAGCAGGTCTGTAATACAAAGGGTCTTCTGGGGAGGTGAATGAAGGGATAAACTGTCTAAAGCGTGCATTACATGCAAGAATGTGAGTCCGGATCCTGTTACCTGCCGTATTTCAGAGTTTGGATTAGTTTAACTCTCCTGAATATTCACTTCATACTTGAAGATTTCCAGCAGCGATTCTGATCTCTGCCTTAACATACGATTGAAGTGTGTTTCAAGAGCCAGATCTCTGACTTAATGTTTGATCGATTAAGGAATGTTAAAGTAAAGGGGTGCAAACTCAGGGAAATCTGTGGAGTTGCTCAGCCTTCCCCAAGACTGCAGGGGAATCTTGCTATTGATCTCCGCAGGGATCGATGCCGAGGGCTAAATTAGGGGATGTGTATCCCATCCCCCCAGAACTGTAAATTCATACAGCACTAATAAGTTTTGAGTTTTCAGTTTTAAAACACTTTTAAAGGACTTTGTGTGAAGCTTTTACCTTCAAAGTCTAAAGCAAATGTCACGTAAGCCGTTTTAATAAAGTTGTGTGTGATATTCTTTCAAATCCCTTCAGGGATAGCAGACCTGTTTATCTGGCTAAACCCGTTCTTTAGTAATCATGGACCACTGAAGTTGTTCTCTCCTTATTCTTAGTTTCTTAACAATACCTTTTAAAATTGGCTGCAGTCTCTCTCATCCCAACCAGTCCCCGCCCTTCTCAGCAATCTGTCATCTTAAAATAAAAGAGCCTGCAGCAAAGTTTGTCTGCCATTAAAAGTCAAGACAGACCTCATGGTTTTCCTTTTGTATTGGAAAATCTCAGCCTTTTCACAGTATTTATTTAGCAGCCTTTCTCTTCTGAAAGGCTTTCCCTGGGTTTAGTAGATGATCTTTGAGAACAAACCTAAGGGAAATGTTACTTTTGATAGATGGAATGTAGGCTGTAGTATATTTTTTCTTAGTTCAGATATGAGCATACTGTCAGATTTTATAAATTACATCTAAAAAAACTATAGGGAAAGGGCAAGAGGAAAATCCCATATCTTTTTCTTCTTAGGTGTTCCCCAGCTGTTTACCTTAGACCAGGTCAGGTGGTATGAAGTGATATAGTTATGCTGATTTAGTGTAGTTACACTGGACTCTTGCTGTTGATCAGGAATCCAGTATTCCTGCTGAGAGCTGAGATAGGGTTATGTATTTGTACTGGTTGCTGAAGCAGACACACATTTTTCTTTCCCAATGTAATGCTTTACCATTTGTTCACGATGAAATAAATTTTAGTTGGTAAACTGGCAACCCCAAAACAGAATATGAACAAAAGTTTGAGTGTTGAAAAGATACAGAACATTGTTCATCCATTTCCATGAAGTTCTGGAGCAGGCATGTGGTACATTTTAATACTTTAAAAAACCTCAATATAATACCTGAATTTGATGTTTGTTACTTCTGAAACAGGTTAAATGGTACTTGGTATTTTAAAGTACTTATTAGAACAGCTTTCAAAACAGGTGGAATTTTTTGACCTTTTGAAGCAGATGGTTTCTTTTAAAATAATGTTACCTGTTCGTCATGCAACAAGTTTTGTTTCGTACCCGGTGTTGTGCAACTGCGGTATCTAATGTGTGAGGGGGTTGTGCATTTATCACAGGCTGTTCAGCAGCAGAGGCACCTGAAAGCTCTGGCATAACAGCTCTATGTCCAAACTGAAACGCGTGCAAATCTCTGGGAAAAGTAGTTATTTGCATATTGCAGATAAACTTCATTCAGTTCTTCTGCCATCCAAGTATATACACATATCCATATCACGTAATCATTTGGAAACAGCGGTCCTATAACGTATCCTTTTAGATTTCTTTATGTGCCAAACGTTTGGATTGTGGATGTGTTGACTGTTGGCTGTGCAGGCACCTGTAGTACCATGCCTGTACACTACCTGTAGTGCTGCAGAACAGCTGGCTACGGGGAGTTAGTGGGGAGGTTAATTATTTCTGTGAGCAGCTGCACACTTCAGAATTGTGTATGTTTTTAAGAGGAAAATCTGTGATTGTTTTGAACACATCAAGGCACGCGCATTGAGGACATTTTCCAGCTGCATGCTGGTTTTCCGTATACAGAGTCTTTGTACAGGCATGTTCTCTGGTCACATGGTGGGCTTGCCATTAATAGTTTCTAGCATTAACTGCAGAACTATTTCATCTCTATCTATAGATCTAGCTTGTATTTGGTGATGGGAAGTGGAAGCCGAGATAACTCAAGAGAAATGGCATTTCCCTAATGAGATGCACTCAAAATACTTCCACTGTCCCTGGTTATTTCAAATGTTTATATAGGCACAGAACAGCTGCTGACTTGTGCGGTTTGTCAAGGTGTTAAACGTTTTATTTTATTTTAGATCTCTGCCTCAATAGATCCAGAATTAGACCGATGGTGCATCAGGATTAGAACCAGTTGTAAGCAGTAGACTTCAGCAGTCCCTGGGACTTGATGCTCTCAGCTCACCATACCTGTTGAGGGACACTTGTTCAGGGTGCTGTCATTTGCCCAGGAATTCAGGAAGGAAGCCTGGTTCGGAAGGGAAGACAAGTAGTAGTTGGGCTCCTGCTGGAAGAAAAGCACAAATGAATTCCAATAATACTGAGACTTGGGTGCGGGATTTTGCTCATGGTGTGCAAATGAGGAATGGAGGCCCCAAAAGACTCTGCCTTGCGCATGGTTGCAGCCATAGCAATTCTTACCCTGAAATCGTGAAAACAGCAATTAAGTAATACTTCTGTTCAGATCCAGCTTCTTTGACCTGTTAAATGGGTGAGTTGCATAGATTACGTTTTAAGGAGCTGTCAGTAAATGCCATCATTGATAGAGACCATAAGGATAAGTGGAAGAGAGTTAAAGAAAACTGTTGACAAAGTGCATTAAAGTGCAGTGTTGCTAGACACTGCTGAAGGGTATGTTAATATCTTTTATTTATGAATTCTGCTAAATCCATTAGTTGCCTGTGTGAGAAATGGAAGTACATTATTTTCCTGTGCAAACCACAGTTTAAGGGAAAATAATGCATTTTTTTCAAACACTTCATGAATGATCGCAGGCCTTGGGAATAATTGATCTGGTT